GGAGGGGGGGGTTTATTAAGAGATTAATTTATAAGGAAGGGAGGTGAGTATACTTAGGGACTGAACTTCCTTTTCTATGGAACATGATATAATATAGTAATTAATAAAAAGTTTATGTTCAATCGTCAGTCGGTACACGTCACATCAAATGAGGCTTATTATTGGTTTTCTTTTGTATTGCTGGCTAGCTTCAAGTGCTTATAATTCGCCCACATATATAAGTGGAAAGCGAAGTATAAGCACCCTCGGCCTCGCACCCCTTACGGAGGCAGTTTGAATAACTAATTCCAAGTACTCGGACTTCGACCGTATTATAGACCAATTAGAAGGCTCTATCTTAGCGAAACACAAAGCACAAACTAGGGCAGTAAGCGCACCCCTTTCGGGGGTATAAACGTCCAAAAACCAAGCACATAGCTTATAAACAAGCACGCAGCTAATAAACAAGTACCTCTCGGACTTCGACCATATTGTAGACCAATTCAAAGGCTCTATCTGGTGAAACACAAAGTATAGAGCAGGGCGGTAACTTCGGCCAGAACACAGGGCCCAAAACCCTCCCAAATCGCTAGGCGAGCCTTTAAGCGAGGGGAATGTGGGTGGGACAAAAGTGTAGCTGACGATATGGTGGATATTGGTGGTGGTGTTGAAGGCATGTGGCAGTAGTAGGGTGGGATATATATCCCACCAGCTTACTAAGCCTTTATCCTCATTCACTATAGATCCTGCCATATAACCTAAGAGTTATTCGGAAAATATAATAGTAAGAGAATACTCTAGTACGTAGTAAATCCTACTATAAACGAAAAATAGTTCTATATATATACGAGGCTAGACGGACTCGCAGGCTCGCCTTCGCCCTCTTATTACGTCTAATAGTCTCTTAATAGGTTTATTTATTTAATTTATATATTTAACTTATAGGATAAGTATAACTTAGTAGAATTATTATTTATATACTAGTAGGCTTTTCTCTTTAATTCCCGCTACTATACCCGAATATTCCACTTATTTTATATAATTAGTTAGGCCTTAATTAAGCGCTAGTGTAACGAATACTCAAACTGGCTAACTAAACTTGGCTGGGTGTTCGCTGGTTGGTATGCTATGATAAGAAGAAGACTATCGGGTTGTTCACTTGGAAGTGAACTCGTTACTTGTATCAAAGATGTCAAACAAATATGATAAGATTGATAACTAAGTTGAGCACGAAGCTCCTATCTAATGGCAGACTTGCCAGTCTTATATAGAACTTCCGTTCTTTTGTTCCAACAGTTGGATCGCTAGAGTCGTTCGTCGCTCCAGGCGACCCAACTGTCACGTGATTATAACCAAAGGAAATCCCTGGATCGCTTAGCTAGCCTAAGCATCCCTATTTGCTATAAGAGTGTGTTGCTGGTGCTTAACCTGTCAGGACGCCGCCTGGTCTTTGCTTATCACATGCCAACACGTGATTCGTGACAGCTAGGTAGCCTAGGTACTACTTAGAAGGTTATAAATAGTCTTATAAGCGCCTAGGAGGCTATTTAACCTAAATACCGTTCTACTTATATCTATAGTAATCCCCCTAGGCGTATAGCCTTATAATTATCTAATTAGGTAATTAATTCTCCTTCCTTTTATACTTATAAACCCGAGATAAGTAAAGGAACCTGTTATTTTCCTTTTATATAAAGTAACTAAAATATATACCTTTTTTCTCGCTTAGGAGTCTATAATTTTATCTCTCTTAGAATAAATAGCTAAATGGCTAAAAAAGAAAGAGAGAAAAATTAGAACGCGACTTGAGTTAAATTAAGTTAAATTAAAAATAAAGTTAAAAGAAAAGAAAATATACCTTATAGAAAAGGGAGGGGTCTATATAACCGTTACTAGACTATTCTAGAATTATTACTAAAAATAAGACTATTACATATTTAGAACTACCTATGTAGAGTAGATCCGTCCTTTGTCCCTCTTAAAATTAAGATCGTAAATAAATTTATTACCGTAACTATAAATAATAGTACTAAAAGGTTATATCCGTCCCTTCTAGCGACAGTATAAAAGAGATATAACTATCCTAGGACTATCCTAGGACCGTCCTGTGGCCGTCATGTGGCGATCCTTAGTCTAGGTACTAAGGCTAGGGATACCCTTATTTCGTGCCTTCCTCCTTTGCCTACCTACTTGCCTACTTGCCTACCTGTCCACCTGCCTACCTGCCCACCTACTAGTTATACGTATTAGCGGGACAGAACGCCCAAAACGACCTACGAGGGTATCGCACACCATACGCGTGTGAGCTTTGCCCGAATCGACCGATTTTACGAATATATTCTTTGTGGTGTTAGAATTAAGACTCTAGGAGCGATACCGAGTCCTACGCTATATCTATGCGCATTGCGCAACCCCTATAGCTGAAGAGGAAGTGTAGGAGACCGTCCTACGATAGTCTTTTACGATCGTTATAATGGGGGACGGTCTTCTAAATCTAAGACTATTATATTAAAAGACTATCTATAGACTATCTTACATAAAGACGAGAAGCTACTATTATAGTCCCCCTTTTTTAGATTATCTAATACTTAAACAATCCTAGGATAATCCTAAGACGATTTATATTATATAACTATTCTAAGACGATTATAACCACCCCCCCACACCCCCCTTTCTTATAAGGTAGCTACGCAATCGCTGAAAACTAGCGAGAGGTGTATGGAAGTTACCTAATCCTCAAAGAACGTAAGAATATATGACGAAAATTCCCCTCTTATGTACATAATACGTTACAGTACTATTTAAGACCTCTCTCTCTATCTATCTCACCATCCATACAACCCCCAAATCCCAAATTCCCCGATTCCCTAATCCATGTATAAAATACAAACCATCAAAGAAAAGAGTCTTACCATCCAACCCCATCCACCCCCTCCCTTCCCCTCCCCCCCTACCTCACAACCCAAAACCCATTAACAACCATCCCTCCTCTATCACCCACCCCCCTAACCCCCAACCTGTGAAGCGGAACCCTCCCCATCCCATCCTTCACCATAGCTTTCGCACCAACAACCCCTTGAATACTAGCGGCCTTCTTGACTCCGTCTTTGATACCGTTGACGGTATCGGCGGTGCGGTGGCTCTCTGCGGCTTCGGGGCTCCAGGAGGGGTTGTCGAGGATGGCTTGGATGATTGATAGGGAGGAGGGGGGGTGGGGTTCTTCTGAGGGGGAG